CCTACCCATTGACAAAATTACATTGCCAGTCGTCACGGGTCCTTTCACCATCAACACGGAGTTTGTTGTGATTGATACGGACTCCCCCTACAATGTGATCATGAGGTGAACTTGGTTGCATGCGCTGGGGGCGGTGCACTCCACCTACCACCAGAAATTGAAGTTTGCTACACCAGAGAGGATAATGGAGATTCGAGGGGACCAAGCGTCCACAAAAAATTATTTTTACTCGGCTGTGAGAGCGGGGGTTTTCACCCAAGAGAAGGGACGCGCCCCGGAGGAAATCCTAGAAAAATAGCAACCACAGTCCGGGCGTCCAGGAGTGGATGACCCCCGGATTGACCCGACGGACCGATTGGTAGAGGACCTCCAGAAGGTGTTCTTAGTAGATGGTGAAGAGGAGAGGTACTTCCTGGTTGTCTCCGCAATGCCTACGGCCAAACAGGAAGAGATGGTTGAATTTTTAAGGCAAAATACAGACTTGTTCGCTTGGAACGCAACAGAAATGAAAGGGTGGACCCCGAAGTAATTACGCATAAGCTACATGTTGACTCGACACACAAGCCAATAAAGCAGACGCCACGACGTATGACGCCACATCACGCCCGGGCGGTGTACGAGAAAGTCGATAAACTCCTGTAGGCCAATACAATCCGGGAGGTGCAGTTCCCAGAATAGTTATCAAACACGATTTGTGCGAAGAAAAGGGGGGGGAATGACGTGTTTGCGTAGACTTCATCGATTTGAACAAGGTATGTCCCAAGGACGACTACCCCCTACCAAAGGTGGACTAGTTGGTGGATGCCACTGTCGGGTATTAGTGCATGAACTTCCTGGACGCTAGAGTTAGATATCATCAAATCCCTCTCCATCCCCCAGATCAAGAAAAGACGGCATTTATCACTTCGAGGGGGTTTACTGCTACAAAGTCATGCCATTTGGGCTGAAAAATGCCGAAGCTACATACCAGATGCTGATGAATTGGATGTTCAAAAGACATATCGGTAACATCATGAAAGTCTACATCGATGATATGTTAGTTAAAAGTAGAAGGAGTTGTGACCATCTGGTGGATTTGACCGATACCTTCTCCACCCTCAGGGAGTATGGGCTGAAGCTAAACGCGGCGAAGTGTGTTTTCGGAGTGGAGTTAGGTAAATTCCTCGGATACCTGGTGAGTCGACGAGGATTCGAAGCTAACCCGGATCAAATTCAAGCGATCTTGGACATCCGGAGTCCCCGAACGGTTCGAGAAGTCCAGAAGCTCACAGGAATGTTGGTAGCACTTAATCATTTTATCTCGCGCTCCTCGGACAAATCGCTCGGGCCAATCAGGAGCGGACCGACGAAGCAAAAGACTGTTTAACTAAGGCGGTGAAGAGGATGAAAAAGTGGGCAGACGAGAAGAGGAGGGCAGTAGAGTTCGAAGTGGGTGACAAAGTGATGCTGAAATTGACCCCATCAATCTGGAACAAGATCTCTCGGAAGTCTGCACACAAGGGATTAATCCAGCGTTATGACGGCCCTTTCCTAATAATAATGAGGATTGGCAGGTTGGCCTATAGGCTGGATCTTACCAGTCATCTCAAGCTTCATTCAGTTTTTCATGTTGCCTTCTTAAAGTCGTATGTTGAGGACCCGGAGGACCCTAACAGATACATTTGGCGTTGGGCTCCTCCAACAATCAGGAATCAATTCATAGAAATAGCTGAAGCTATCCTTGACCACAAGACTGAGAGAATGAGTAAGAAAAATAGAAGAACTCATTACCTAGTCAAGTGGAAAGGGAAAACACCGGAGGAAGCCACTTGAGAGAAAGAGACGACATTGTAGCAGTTCGAGGATCTCATCAAGCAATACCATGCCTCCATTCCAACAAGGTCGTTGGATACTTCAGGTGGGGGTGACTTATCATACCCTAATTGACTTGGGTGCAAATGACTGGTCTTGGTGGCACCTTGCACTATGGCATGCCAGAAATTGGAATCAAGGTGACGCGACTAAGTGGTTCGACAGATTGAAGTGAACCAAGGCAGCATGAGACCACCCGGTTGAGCATGACAGCATGGGTGGGCTCAATTGAAGCAATGTAAGTGCAGAGCTTCGGATTGCATGGTATGGGTTGAACCCAACATGCACATTGGTTCGTGTAGCAAGGTTGACTATTGAATGTGGGCACATGACTGCTGAATGTGGGCACCTGACTGACACATGACTGCTCAATGCATGTGACCAGGAGGATGTGGGCGGTTATGATGTTGAGACTTAGTCAAGGTAGTTGCTGAGGCAGTTCTGGATGTCCTTAGTCTGAATCCAGTCTAGATGCATGTTGATGAAAGACAGTTCCACAACAGTTACTGGAAGTGGTGGAACTGCCTGCTAGGTGTTGCACAGAGACCAAGCCTGCTAGCCCAGTATACTATAGAATAGCAAAAATGTGGGTAACTACCCCTTGGCAGACGGGGGTGTCATCTGCCTTCCTCTTGTATAAATAGGGGTGCTTGAGCATTCTGGAAAGGGGAGAGTGTTCTGGCTTTAAGAGTCCTTGTAAATTATTGAGTTCAATATATAAGGTTTGGGAGTGTTGTCCCAGTAAATTCGTGTGTGCCTTCTGTGTGAGTTTATGTCCCTTATTCTTGAGTTTGAGTGTGGTTAGTTACAATAGCAACGCCTTCACAGGTAGCTTAAAAAAAACACAAAAATTACACTGTGACACTAAGACACGCAAGCAATTAATGTCAGGATGCAAAACTACAGGACACAGCAAGTTGAGACATCCAAAGATTTTATTGTCTTGACTCCATCTCCAAGAGACCATGACGTTTTTCTTCAAGAGTTATCGTCAATATCAATACACTATGCGCTGCTCGGAGAGTTCAACCAGGATCATTAGCCATCAACTCCGATACCATTTTGTTTTGAGGAAGTGGATTTATACGAGGCCCAATATAAATATTTGGAATCTATATCCACCTAAAATCTTAAGCCAATAGGTAAAGAGTTCATCTATAGCACATTAACATTCTTTTCTTTTTCTATCTGCCCTAGAATTCTTACTCATGTAATATCCAACAGAAATCAATTATGATTAGATTTTTTTATGACCTTTTAAATTTAAAAAATATTATTTAGTGAAAAGTACTCCATGAAAAAAAAATTATTGGACTTTCCTCGAAACATTTAAATGAAAGTTTTTTTTTTTTTTGAATACTGTATCAGGATGGTCTGCAAAATAATTTATTTGTGCCAGAGTTGCTATATATATTTTTGACCGTGGTAGTGCTTGCAGAGATAAAATTATTTATAATCTTACGAAATAAAATTCTTGACTTTACCATTGTTTGACCATGAGATGACATGATGGTAGCGGTGGTAACGAAGACGATGGTGCTGATTGTGGAATGGAAGTGGTGATGGTGGCGGTGATGATAGCGTGTGGAAGTTGTGAAGTCATCCCAAAACATGAAGCATGTGAATAGGGCTGCCATTTGTTTTTTTAACTTGGCATTTTTTGAATACTTCACAGCCACGAAATTTTAGAGTTGACGCATGACTGCAAGAAATAAGGCAGGCTGAACTAGTGGAGTAACTCTCTTCTTTGTTAAGGCATACTTCTCAGCTATCCTCCTTCTCCTCCTCCATTGCAAATCTGCTTCTTGCTGTCTTTGACTGCTGAATGCAAATCTGCTGCTTTCTGAATTTGACTGCTGAAATCTGTTTTGCTTCTTCACTCTTGTTCATCGTGATCAAGAAACAGAGGTATGTCTAAATTGATTTGACTTAATTACCTTGCACTTTGAACAGCTTTTACACCAATTTGTTTTCTGTGCTTAGAAATGATCAAAAATGGAGATGAGTTGAGAACAAATTTGCATCCATCAAGCTTTCTGCTTTATCCAAAGATCCAAGTTTCATTTAGCTCAGGAAAAAAAAAACTTTTCCAAACTTTTTTGAAATTATTTCGGAAACAAGTTGAAAAGGGAAAAAAATTGATCGTACCATTTCAAACCATACCGATGTTTTCAGTTTCCACCAATACCCAAATATTTCGGTCGTTTTGGTGGAAACGAAGCAGAATTTTGTTCTTTGAGTATATCTGCCTTCATCTGCAACTATCTTTTCTCCAAGTTATAATAAATTTATATCAATCTTGCAACAATTGCAAGTGTTTTTTAATGGATGAAAAGGAATGAGATGTTATTGTGGGCCCATAACGTTTCTATGTGTTATTTGATCGACCTGACATTAGGCTCGGTGATACTTATAGGACTTGAGAATCTATGATGATTTTTAGATTCTCTGTTGTAATTTTACAGTTGATACGCCTCCCTCAGAATCTGGTTATCTACTCTACATTTGCTGGCAATCTTTACTCAACTCTGAAATGGCACTTGCTACAATGGGGTCCTCTGTCTTGGGAAAATTTACAGAGTTGTTTGTAGGTTACTTGGTTGTTCCAATCGGACGTCAGTTTGGATATCTGTTTTGCTACAAAAACAACATTCAGAATTTGACCAAACATGTCAAGGATCTAGAAAATGTGGAACATGGGGTGAAGGGGCGGGCAGACGCAGATGAAAGAAACTCACAAATTGTTGGAAAACATGTTCAAGACTGGCAGAAAAAAGCAGTTGAAACCACGAATGAAGCAAACAAAGTTCTTGAACGTTGTAGAGGTGAAGTTGAAAGGGGTTGTTTGAATGGGTGGTGTCCAAATTTGCTTGTACGTTACTCGCTGAGCAGGAATGCCAAGAAAATGTCTGAGAAGCTAGTTGAACTCCAAAATAAAGGTAACGAGTACACTTCATTCGCATACCCTGCAGTACCATTGCAGAAGATTGTAATAACAGAAGATTGCAAAGACTTTGAATCTAGGATGGTGACTACAAAAGAAGTTATGGATGCTTTGGAGGATGATCCGATCAGGATGATGGGGATATGCGGTATGCCTGGGGTGGGTAAGACAACAATGGTGCAAGAAGTTGCCAAAAGAGTAGAAGTTAAGAAGTTATTTGATGAGGTTGTCATGGCTGTTGTGTCCAACAATCAGGACTTCATGAAGATTCAAAATGAACTTGCAGGCATGTTGGGTTTGAAATTTGAGATTAATGAAACCAGCCTTCACGTTAGAGCAAATAAACTTCGGATCAGATTGTCAAATGGCAAAAGGATTCTTGTAATATTAGATGACGTTTGGAAAGAACTTAAGTTGGAGGAACTCGGAATTCCTTTTGGAGTCGGCCAGCACTGCTGTAAAGTTTTATTGACATCTCGAAATGAACATGTGTGCGTCGAGATGGGATCTCAAAAGAACTTCGTAGTCGGATTACTATCTAATTACGAAGCGTGGAATCTTTTTAAGGAGAAGGCAGGAATTGAAGATGATAATACCGAGTTACAACCTGTGGCAAAAGAAGTTGCGGATGAATGTCGAGGGTTACCTCTTGCAATTGTGACTCTTGCCAAGGCACTGAAACATAAAGAGAAGAATTCATGGAATGTTGCGCTTCGAGAACTAAGGAGAAATACTAAAATTCCCGAAAAGGTGGAAACAGCAATAAAGTTAAGTTATGATATGTTGGAAAGGGATGAATCCAAATCATTGCTTCGGCTTTGCAGTTTATTTCCAGAAGATTATGATATTCCTAGTGAATGCTTGGTGAGATATGCTGTCGGGCTACGTTTGCTTGAAAATGTTGAGACCGTGTTAGAGGCAAGAGAAACGGTGTACTCATTAATCGATCAACTCAAAAGCTGTCACTTGATACTAGTTGGTGATGAGGAGAGTGTGAAGTTACATGATGTTGTACGAGATGTATGCATATCAATTGCATCTAAAGGTAAGGATGCAGTTATGGTAAGATGTGATGCTGGCTTGAAAAAGTGGCCCCAAGAAGATACATTCCGACATTATTCAGCCATTTCGTTGATGTTTGGTGAATTTAATGAGTTTCCAGTTGGCTTAGATTGTCCAAACCTCAAGATTTTACAGCTGCAATGCAGGTACGAAAGTAGGGAACAGGATGAATTTTGTACCAAATTTGATTCAGGGATTTTTTTGAAGGGATGACAAAACTCAGAGTTGTTAGTTTAAGATCCATGTTCCTTCAACTTCCACCACCACCACTCAAATCCATGATGAACCTTCGAACATTGTGTTTAGATTTTTGCAAGTTGGACACCACCAACGTATCAATGATTGGAAGCCTAAAGAGCTTGGAAATTCTCAGCATTTTTATGTCAACTCTTCGTGCATTACCAAGCGAGATCGGAGAGCTCGGTAATCTAAAATTGTTGGATTTGAGGTGTTTTGTCAGTGATGGACTTCCACCTGGTGTTTTGTCAAACTTGAATAGACTCGAAGAGTTATACATGGGAAAAAACTTTTCGGAAAGGGCTGAACACGCGGAGTTGAATTCATTGCCTGATCTGAACACGTTAGAAATTTTCTTAAGTGCTGAATATATGCCAAAATTGAAAGACTTTCGCTTTGACAATCTGACAAGATTTAAAATTTCGATTGGGACTTATGCTGGAACACTGGATCAATATCATTTCCAAAACGAATTGGTCCTTCTATCTTCTGACATGGGCATGCTTTTTGGGATTGGACTTAGGACGTTATTGGAGAGATCTGAAATTATCACGTTATTAGATATGAAGGGCTTGGGAAGGAATCTTTTCGATGAACTAGATGAAAAGGAATCTGTAAATTGGAAGGAACTTTTGGTTCGTAGTTGTTATGAGCTTGAATATCTTATTCATAGGGCTCTGCCGGGAAAAAGATTTGGACAACTAAAAAAGTTAACTTTATTGAGGCTACCTGCCATGAAGAGTCTTTTCACGGGGTCCGTAGTTAAAAGCTTCGTGCAACTCCAAGAATTAGGTATATACTGGTGTTCTCAGATGGAATATATTGTTGCCAAGGAAGAGGAAGAAGGCAAAAAAAGTACAGAAAGAATTGAGTTTCCAAAACTGAAGCACTTGTGCTTGAATGATCTCCCAATGCTTCGAAGCTTCTACCCCAACTCAGACAATGTTGCCATAGAAAGTCTGTTCCACAGACAGGTATGCTTTTGCTCTTGAATAGCGTTAATTACTTTTGCATAACAATAACAGGGTTACTTTTAGAAGGGCACTGCTATTTAAACTTAAGTGTAATGTTATTAAGACATAATTTGGAGATATGACTATTAAATTTTCAATATGTTTCAACATTAAATGTAGTCTACTATCAATTTAATGATCAGTATATATTTAGTCCCCAAATTATTTTCCAATAACAGTAGGGTTTAGGGTTTGGAATTAAACTATACATACAAATTGGGCACTTTTGAGACCAAATAAACACAAATTAGGAACTTTTGGGACTAAATATACACAAAATTAGGAACCATGTAATTGACCGCGTTTGGGATTGACCCAGTTGGATACAAATTATAAACCTTAGGAACCAAATAAACAAAATTGGAAGATTAGAAATCAAATAGACACTAAATGCATACTTTAAAGACAAAAAATATATTTTATCACACAAAAGAATTCCATAGCCACCACAGTTGTTTTCTCCTAAGTCATTTTTTATGCCAAACCACCAAATTCACCATCTTTCATAACCATCCATTTTCTCTCAGTAAATCTGGCAATAATCTCTCTCTCTCTCTCCCTCTCTCTCTCCTGCCATTTTCAACATGAACATGCAGAAAATTGAGCTAAAATATGCAGATTTGAGAAATTTAGTAATACAAAGTACAATTACGATATAATTTTAAGTCAGATTTAAAATTTAGTTGAATTAAATTATGATACTTGATTAATATTAATGACTCAAAGTAGTATTAGATGTAATTCTATTAAATTAATTACAAGTAGGGTTGTTAAACATTTCGTAAGGACTTTTTGATATTTTATTTAGAGATTATACCATTTAAATTCAACAATGAAAAACCATAATTATCTTATTTATCAGCATAATCGCACTCGATTGCTGATATTCTGGATCCAAATACATAATTTTAGATTTTGAAGTGGACCAAAGGGACTTGTTGACAGCTCTAAAGCCATCAATCTTCACCAAAGGGATTTGATTTTTACCAATCTGCTCCACTTGTAAATTCTTCCTTCATTCCTTTATTTTTTTCTCTCCACAACCCCAAAATGATTTCAATGATCATCTCCAGCACCTTCGTCCACCATAATCAACTCCCCAACATAGAGAAACTACAACCAATTTAGTACATTTGGGGATCACATAACAATTAATAGAAAATCCTTTTCTAGTGTTACATAGGAATTTAAAAATAAATGTATATAATTCATATCATATGATAATTATTGGAAACATTAATTTGTTTGTAAAAGAACAAAAAGATATTGTGAGCTACCATGCTTGGACTAGATATTATATATGTTTTTTTGTAAAACGTAGTCCACTACACTTGATGTGTGCTGATTGTTTGATCACTTTAGCCATAAAATTTAGTTTGATAAACATTTAAATTCATAATTTTATTAATAATATTTTTCTTAGCTTGTAATATTTTTCAACTATTCGAGTCAAATACAGAGAAACAAAATCGATTTTGTTAACAGGAAAGTAATAATGACAGTAAAGTTAGGAGACAGAATCGATTAAAATACTAAGACAGATGATATAGGTCACCACTAAATAAGACATAAAAGTGTTTGAAATTCCCAACCCCAATTTTGAATTATGTAACTCATGGTATAGAGGTACTTCTGACTCATTAATTGTTGATATTGGTTTACATTTCTAGGTTGGTTAGAATATCTGACCTAGGTTGGTTATATCATACTAACACTTCTTAGTAGTTGTTATTTTCACCAAAATTTACAATCATTCTGGTCAACATGGTGTTTATGAATCTTGAAGCTACTAAATTGAAAATACGAATAACTAATAGAAATTGAGCGCAACAGAGATTGAAAATTGGTTGGCAGAAAAACTTCAAAAGAATTGAAAAGTGAGATTTGCAATTTTTAAAAAGACCAGTGTAAAATAGCATATGTGAAAACTGAAATGACAAAAATATGGCCCAAAAATAATGAACAACAGGTTTGAGGTCTATCCTTTGAGCAATGACAGAGCCAGCATTAGGGGGGGGATTTTTTTTGGTTAACATATCTTTTTTTTTTTTGTCACATCAATTTATAAAATTCAATGCCTAAATTGACTAGTACCTTTTGGCCACGCTTCAAATACTTTACCAAAATGTTTGGATAAATTTGGACATGTGAGATTCATCTTGTAATTTTAAAAAAAATTATGGAATCATATTATTGTTGCATAGAAATTAAATTTTTTTGTCATAATATACGGTTTTATGAGTATGTAAAAAAACTAGTGTCAACTTCAAATTACAAAATCCTTTGGAGTATTTGAAAAAATCCAAATTTAAAAATATTTATCAACTAAGATTATTCTCATCAGTTAAGACCTCTGACGACTATGCAATGTTAGTGACATAGGACTTGCCTTTATTTGAGGGTTGAGTAATCGATGACAATATTATGTCAATAGGTAACTCCCATTTTTTCATCATTCATATGATTTGTGTGATCCTCATGAATAATCTTATGACACAACGATTGAATATTTTCAGGTTTTGTTGCCTAGCCTTGAGATGCTAGAGTTGCTCGGAAAAAACAAAGTACACATAGTGGACTGCCATATGCAAGTTGGGTCTTTTGACCAACTACGATACATATTTGTTTCAGATTGTGGATTGTTGAACTTGGCTGCAGCGGCTCAACTAGAACTGTTTCGAAGCGTCCAAAGCATTCGAATAGAGGGTGGTGATGCACTTGAAGTCGTGTTTGACTTGGAGGGGCTAAAAGCTAAGGGTGAACAGGCAGAAGTTATACTCGGTCAGTTAGAGTCATTGAAGATCCATTATTCATCTAACTTAATGCGTATATGGAAGATGGTTCCCAAAGGACTTCAAGGTTTCCACAATTTGAAAACACTTCAAATTTCCTATTGTGGGAGCTTGAGATATCTGTTGTCACCTGTTATGGTAAACTTACTTGTGAATCTGCGAGATTTACGCCTTGTAAATTGCGAGATGATGGAAGAAATTATTGAAACAGGGCAAGGTTACCCTGAAATCAGAATTATGGATGACATAGTCACAAACCAAGAAGGAGAAGAAGTGATTGTGTTCCCACGATTAAGCAGACTAGTCCTTTTTAATCTAGAAAACGTAACCGTTTTCTACTCTGGAAAGTGTGGACTTCAATTTCCCTCATTAGATCAAGTGCACATAAGCAACTGCCCGAAATTGAAATTTTTTTGTTCCGGACCGCTATGCACACCGAAGCTTGAAAGAGTGAACACCAGCAAAGATCAATGGCTTTGTATGCGTGATCTTAGCACCAGGGATATCGAGTGTGTTTGGATGGGTGATCTTAACAAGACAGTACAACACATATGAGAAAGGTACAACTTTATTCTTTATAATTTCTAATCAATACAACTTTCATTCTGTTTTTGTAATTTTGCCTTCAAGAAATGGAGGTAATAATTATGCATACTACTGTCCGGGTTATTTTATAGTGTGAACTATTTTCACTGTAAATCTTTTCCTAAAATCAAAACATCCCTTTTCATTTCTGTGTAACACAATAGTCCTTATCAGGGAAGCAACACAGTGATTTCACAAGAAGATGAAGATGATGATGAAGAAGAAGAGAAGGAAGAGGCAGAAGATGATGTGAAGGAAAAGAAGAAGCAGCAACAGTAGAAGCAAATGAAGAACCTGATGATGAAGATTAAGAAAAAGGCATTACTTTAAAGCGCTCTCTCTCTCTCTCTCTCTCTCTCTATCTGTGTGTGTCTGTGTGTTGAAAACCAGTAGATAGTTAAATAATATGATAATGTGTGTGACCCTTTGTTTGTATTATGACAAGTTTTGACAGTAAAAACACCACTCATCGCTGCAATAGATTGGAGGTTAATTTGTATTTTAGGTTGCAAGACAAAAAACATTCTATTGAGAGCAATTATTTGTAATTTGTAAGAAGTTTCACAGACTTAGGGTACCAGAATTGGTTAGTGAATTTTGAATTTCGGATTCCATCGGATTGGCCTCTGCTGGTTGTGATTGTCTGGCACCAGAATTGGTTTCTAATTGGGTTTTGGGATATGTACATATGTGTTCTTGCTTTATCTTTGTCTTTCAGGATTCAATGCCCAGCTCCAACATCCAAACTTCGAGTTACGCCGTTTTTCCCTTAAATTTCCGGTAGTGTTGCTCTTTAGTTAGAAAAAAAAAACTATGTAGTTTCCTCAAATCATCTCATAAGAACAATCACCTCAACACAAAATCAGAGCAGATATATATTGCTATTGACCAGCAAAATGTTGCTGCCAAAATCCAATACAAATGCACCAAATGATATCATATCGAACATGAATTCACCTAACCAGGCAATTCGCTCTTCACATTCTTCTTCTCATCTACCCTACCCCTCTTAAACAACCTTGGCCTTAGCTTCATGGGCTTCAAAAAACAAGCTTGAAATCTCACCATAGCTCTTAAAACCTCAACCAACCTCAGCTCAATCACATCTCTCGTTCCACTCGAGAATGCGTAGACACCACCGCGCTGCAGCATCCATTGTATTCATACACCCAATAAATGGTTCCTTTCTAACAATCAAATTTGAATCAAATGCAGTGCCACCATCAACCTTGACGTCATAATTTAAACAAACATGAACAACAAACTTTGATAGAAGTGGTACACTTGCATGTAACATCTCTTTGGCATGCTTCCAAGTCCGGTCAAAAGCAATCAAAACGTGATTATTTAAATAAGCATCACCGAATGAATACTTCGACGGACTTATCTACACTGAAGGTAATGTCTCCCTACCTGAAAAATGATAAAGTACTGAGTCATATATATATGCCATGAAAACACAAAAACAAGAACCCCTCGCCATCAATTCAACATGAAGAATGAATAAATGGCTGCAAATGAGCTAAGTCAAGACAATTCGTATGATGCTCAACATAGGTTGGAAAAATTGCAAGCTCCAAACTATGATGATTATTACGCACTACATGTATTTCAGATGATCTCAATTGTTCTTTGAGCCAGTCTAGGCTGAAGCTTGAGTGTTTAGGAATTTTGTGATAAGAAATTTATCTATCGGATAAGCTCAACTTAAAATAATTAGGAGCTCCAAGAAAGAATCAAACATGTTGTTTTTCTTTTTATTATCTCAAACCATGTATTTAGAACCTTTAGGCATGTTGACTAGCAACATGCTACTAAGATTACTCCTTCCATAAACTTCATACTGTTTACTAAAATTATACTCAACTTCTCCTTTTCTCTTCTCTCCCCATGAATAAACTAGTGACTAAAATGCACAACATTTTGTGAAGCCAGGCTTTGGATCTTAATGCATATAACTGATTTTTTTTTTTCACTTTTTTGCATCATTTGACTAGTTCAATTGAATAGCAGCTAATCTTCCATAGTCTAGAGTCCAGACTATTTAAACAAAAATGAAATTAGCCTAGTTATTATAATCCAATCTCGAATCCAAACTGACATAAACAAAATTAAGATATAATCCTATTAAATTTATTGCAAGTAGGGTTGTTAAACATTTCGTAAGGACTGTTTGATATTTTATTTAGAGATTATATCGTTTAAATTCAACAATGAAAAATTCCGTATCATAGTCAAATTTTTTTATCTTCTATGAAAGTCGCACTCAATTGCTGATATTGAAGATCCATTGAACATAGAATCAAATACATACTTTTGGATTTTGATTTGGACCTCTTGCTTGATCCACCAAAGGGATTGGTTGACAGTCCACAAGCCATCAATCTTCACTAATTTCGGGCACCTTTTTTACTTTGATTTTTACCAATCAAACCATCATCGTTGCAAGCAATCTGCTCCACTTGTAAATTCTTCCTTCATTCCTTTATTTTTTCCAATCAAACCATCATCGTTGAATTATGTAACTCATGGTATAGAGGTACTCATGACTCATTAAACATTTATACTAGTTTACATTTCGAGGTTGGTTATAATATTTAACTTAGAATGATTAGAATATATGACTTAAGTCGGTTAGAATATCTCACTTAGGTTGGTTATATCATACTGACACTTCTTAATAGTTGTTATTTTCACCAAAATTCACAATCATTCTGGTCAACATGGTGTTTATGAATATTAAAGCTACTGATCTGAAAAAATGAATAACTAACAGAAATTGAGCGCAATAGAGAATGCAAATTGGTTGGTAGAAAAATTTCAGAAGTATTGGAAAGTGAGATTTGCAATTTTTACAAGGACTAGTGTAAAATAACATACGTGAAAATGGACATGATAAAAAATAGTTATATCTGAGGAAAACGAGGGAGGAAAATTGGAAAAAGAGCCGGTCAACAAAGAGAAGAGGAAGCTCAAGTTGAGCAGCATTCCGTTCTCCTTAACATGCATACTTCACTAAGAATAGGAGTCCATCATGGAAACTCTTATTACTGTGGCAATTAATTTATCTGGTCAGCATGTGTCTCTTTAAAAGCCATGTGGACCAGTTCTTGCCTACACATCAGCTATACAGGTTAGTTTGCTCCAAGTTCATATGATGATGGGTGTTGAGGTTCTCAAATGATGTAACTAAGAAGACATGTAAAATGTACTAAATATGGTTTTGCACATTCAAGCTGTGAAATAGATAGACAGATAATAAAAACAGAGGGTCTTGAATTGGTTTTGTGCGACAAAGATGCATTTAGTTTTCCTTTGGTGAAATCGAAAACCTTGGCAGTGATATTGTTTCATTTGGCCGATATACTGCAATGCTAAGTTGTAAAATAGATAGACAGATAACAGAAAGTGAGGGTCTTTTGATTAAGTTAACAGCCATCATTCCGTTAAATATACAAAAGCTGTTTGTGTTTTTTTTCTTATCCATCAAACTTTTTTTGGCATCAACTCCCACAGAAACTGAGGGTCTTTTGATTAAGTTAACAACCAGTATTCCGTTAAATATACAAAAACTGTTTTGTGTTTTTTTTTCTTATCCATCAAACTTTTTTTTTGGCATCAACTCCCAGTATGGTGTATGTGATGTCAAGTATGCAAATGCTACTGTTTGGTAAATATCAGCTACTAATGAGAAGGCTTGCTGGGTGCAGGATTGTGTCACTTTGACAAGACAAAGAGTGAAAGAACTTAAGATCATCTTGGATGAAGCCATCTCTACCATGGAAGTGGGCTAAATTGTAGAAGACTGACATCAACGGCAACAACTGTTTTTAACTTTTACAATCAATTCATGAGAAAAAAAAAACCCAAAGACAATGATATAACACAAAGATACTTGCAAAAGTTTGAAAAATTAACAATTATCAAGTATGTTTCTAGCTGTACTTAATCCAATCCCATCGCATATCAGGGTTCTTCACCTTGCCCAAGGAAAAAGTGAATGAAGATCTTCAGAGGCTCAAAATTGCCTATGAGAAGAGAAGGCATCAACAAAGTAAATCCTCTACAGTTTACAATCATACAACAGAAATCTACAAAAGACCCCTTCCCCTTTGAAAGAATAGTACCAAAATAAAACAAAAAAAAACAAATGCAGAGTTTGGTGTTGACACATGTGGTACATGTTTTTCTCCTCCCTTGCAAGTTGTTTTGTGTCGAAAAACTGTTTTTACCTTCACACTAACTCCATTAGCAGTGGATCACCCGCTGCCATTATTCTAATCAGCTTTATGAACTCCTGCTCACTGGCCACATTCCAAGAGTGAATTGCAGGCACTTTGGCAGAATAAATTTTGAAGAATTAGTTGGCGGTTTTTGCTCATAAATCATAGCATTGAACACCGAGTCAAAATTCTGAGCCGAGTCCATTGCCAAGAAGAACAGTGGTATTGCAACCTTGTGATGGATATCGAGATCGCCCACTAGATTTATAAGATTGCTGAAATCTGCTACAAATTTCCGAGGAATGTAGAATACCTCAGAATTACATATTGTAAGGCTCTGGTCATTTTTGATGGATTCTTTGTAATTGACTTGCAAGTGAACTGGCATTGTACTAACAACTTTCTCTACCAATTCTGCTTGCTTTTTAAACCAATCTGAGTTGCCATCAATTGGGACAGCAGCCCAAGACTTGGAGACCTACAAGCATAGAGTTTTTCAGAGAGAGACAGAGAGAAGATTATTGGTTGATTGTTGATGGTAAATATATTGGCTCATTATTCTTGGTCATTCATTCAGACAATAGCATTAATTTATTGTATTAGCCTTTTACCATTCAACATTAATTGGCCCCATGCATTACCAAGATTAACATTCTTCAACCCTCAAATTTTCTTTTGCTAACAACAGACAAAAATGGGTGATAGAGGAGACAAGAGTTTTGCTGTTCGTTTATCTTGTCTGTGATCCAGAGCTTAAGCTTGTCTGCTTGCTGCAAGTTCCAGTAATAAGAA